CTTGAGACCTTGGCAGTGAAAAGTTACTCAAAGATCAAAAAGTTATCGAACTATGTGTCCGTGGCGTCAAAAAAACACCATTCGCCACAGAACAGGAAGTTGTTGTAACTCGGCCGTACATTGTCTAATCTGCTCCAAATCTCCCATATGTCATAACATCCTGACCCTGAACACATCTATATGACAATTTAGAATCATAGCATTAGCTACACCTAGTGGCAACTGGAAGTTATAGGTTGTGTACTTTGACATCCTGCTCCTCACAGATTAATCAGATCCCTCTCAAATGTTGTAAGAAAAGTCTTAAGACCTTGATAATGCTTCATTGTGAAAATTGTAAGAAGTTGTTGAAGGGCGGCGACGATGCAGCTCGGCAAATTTCAATCCTTCACCATGAACAAATAAACTGATGTAACTCGACTCCACATCATCAGATCTTTACCAGATTTCACGTTTGATTAGACTCCAGGCCTGAAGACATCTGCAGGCCAATTTGGAATCATAGTCATAGCACCACCTACTGATAACTAGGGATGGGTATCGTTTGGGTTTTTTCCGATACCGGTACTAAAACGATACTTTTAAAATGATACCGGTGCCTAAACGGTGCCTGAACCGATACTTTTTTCTTCAAATTGAACAATATATTAACTGTTTCAAGTATACTATAAATATAATTATATACAAAACACACACACTCTGTACACACACTACAGCTTCAAACTTCAGCAATTCTTTTGCAGAAATATGAGCATATTTGCCTTCCCTGGCAAAATACGACACCTCTCCTGACTTATTTTATTTTACCAGTTGGTGGCGCTGATGCGGCAATTCGTTGTTTGCCAACCGCCACTGCACCTCAAAGAAGAAGAAGAAGAAGGTTTCGCGTCCTGTGGATGTTGTGCTTATGAGTGGCAGCGCTAAGTACCCGGATGTCGATGGAGGAAGTCAGTAGCCTGCCAGCCGTTTGACAGATCTCGTTCTCGGTTTTTTTAATAAATCATGGCCGAAGCTTCGCCAGAATGATTGAGGGGTTTGTTTCTAAGCACGCACAACTCGTCCGGTTGTAATAATACTATGAGTGAGGAGCGGAGGACCGAGGCTATCGTTACCTGCTGCCAGGACGGAGTCATCAGAGTAGTGTAAAAAAAGTATTTCAATCGGCTTAGGCACCGAAAGGAAGCACCAAATCTGCGTTGCGTTTCGGTCCAGTAGATACCGGTCGTATAGGAACCGGTGCCATATTAGCACCGGGTTTCGGTACCCAACCCTACTGATAACAGGAAGTTAAAGTCTTTATACTTTGGCTTGTTTCTTTTAGTAGGTAAATCAGATCAGTTCCACACAAATATAAGAAGTTCATAATGCCAGTTTATGAAGCTTTTGATGTTTCGTGGAATGCCGTTGCCGTGGCGACGCAGTCTTCGCTATGAAAAACGAAGGTGTTTTTGAGAGGCTAAAAATGCTCGAAACATAAGCAAACTTGGCAAACAGATTTAAAGCACAACATTTAGTTATATAATATGATTTTATTGGTTCGGAGTGGCAAATCGGCTCAATAGCTCAAATTTTTACGAAGCAGCCCTCGCTGTACGTTTCACATAGATTTACAAAATTTGGTAGGAACATGTATCACATTTGGACTTAAATAAAAGCCATGCCCTAAATCCAACCGGAAGTCAGCCATTTTTAATTTTGTATGAATTTCTAGTGTTATTTTTGCCATTTCCAGGCGCTGTACTTTAACGAACTCCTCCTAGGGAAATAATCAGATCAACTTCAAATTTGGTCAGAACAATCTAAAGACCTTTGTGATTAAAAGGTACTCAAAGTTTGTTGTTTCGTGAAAGGCCATTGCCGTGGCGACGCATTCTTCGCCATGAAAAAGAAATGTGTTTTTCAGGGGCTAAAAATACTCAAAACATAACCAATCATGGCACACACATTTAAAATCCGGAATGTAGTTATCTGATGTGATTTTAATGCTTCAGAGTTGCAAGTCGGCTCGATAGCGCCCCCTTCGAAATTTTGATGATGCAGCCCTCGCAGTACGTTTCACCTAAATGTATGAAATTTTATAAGCAGATGTATCACATCTAAACTTAAAAAGTAGTATCTTGGGATAATGCTCTAAACCCAACCTGAAGTCAGCCATTTTTAATTTTGTATGAATTTCTCGTGGTTTTTTTCCCATTTCCAGGTGCTGTACTTTAACAAACTCCTCCTAGGGAATTAATCAGATCAGCTTAGAATTTGGTCAGAACAATCTGAAGACCTTAGTGATTAAAAGTTACTGAAAGCTTGAGGTTTCATCGAACAACATGGACTTGGTGTCGCGGACATTTGACATCGTTCGACATCATCCATCAAGCTGTTGTAACTCGACTACTTTGTCAAAACTGTCCCAAACTTGACATGCTTGATGACTGTCATGACTTTAGGACTTCTGCATGCCAATATTAACTCATAGTCATAGCGCCACCTACTGGCAACCACGGACGTAAGCAGGATTCTGTAATTACAGCGGCCCAAACACTGAACTTATTGAAAGGGTTCGTGGGTACACCATGAGAAAAAGACTTCTCTGATCTAAATATGTGCAAACTAAGATGTTTGGAGAGTAGAAATTGGATAAAAAAGGTTTCCAAATCGCGCTTGTACGTGGAGTTTTCATTAATAGTAATTTGAATTGTTTTTGTTCGTTTTGGAACAGGCCGTAATGTAAAGTAATTTCATACAACGTAAAGTTTGTTTAATAAAATCAAACTGCACCCAGACTAATTTGTATGATAGATTATTCTACATTGGCTCACTTTTTGGCTTAAACTTATTTCTTTATAAAAAGATTTTTTCTTTTCACATGGAACTATATTCTCCTATTTCTCCTCGACTCTTCCAGCGTTGAGTCACTCAGCAGTAATTGTCAGAGCTACCTGCACAAACAAACGACCTGCATTTACTTTGACAATCTGTTGTGTTACCAACACTGAAGCGCGTTCACACACATTCAGTTTTTGTCGATTTTTACAGGGTGACAGTTATGATTGTATTCGGAGGTACACTCAAAACATTCAAGGCTTAAGACCTGGCAAAATGAACTGGCTACGCCATTGGTCGACAGAGGAAACACCGTTTAACTTGTGCACGCAGTGTATGATGGTCACAGAAATGCATGGCCGCGTCACCCAAAGTCCTGCCAGTACCCTCGACGTGCATCAATATGCGAGGGCCCGATCAATGCTGCTTGCTGCTTCAATTTTATGTTATTTATTTAATTTTCTTTCAAATTGGACATCTTCAATATTTTTGTTTGTATGTAAGACTATAGCCCAAAGTTCATTGCTTCAAGTGTTCTTGAAGTTCTTTAATTAATAAATGGAAAGCAAAGTTATATTTTTCTCCCCTTTTCTTTGCTGATCTGAAAAATGATCCGAACCGTGACTCAAAAACAGTGAACCGAGCCGTGAGGTTTGTGATCTGTTGCACCCCTAGTTATAGTACTGGTTGTAGTACTGGTTTAAATACTGGTTTTAGTCATGTTTTTTTTATTTGTAGTGGTAAGGGTCATACAACTGGTTTTGGTACTGGTTATATTCTACTTGTGCTACTGGTTGTACTTCTGTTTTTAGTCATAGAATGTTGTTTTTTTAGTACTTTTTTACTACTGGTTTTATTGCTGGTTTAATTGGTGATTGAAGTACTGGATTTAGTTTTAGAACTAGTTGTAGAACTGGTTATACTACTGTTTTTACTAGATATAGAACAGGTTATTGTTCTGGTACTGGTTGTAGCACAGTTTGTAGTACTGGTCTCACTGGTTGTCTCTGTATATTCAGGAGGGCTCTGAGGAGAGCGTCCGTTGCCACCTCACTGGATTTTGACGACAGGTATTGCAACTGTAGTAGAAATACTCACAGTAGTAGTACTTGTAGTATTAGTAGTTGTCATCACATTCTCATGTACATGTGTGTTTTTCTGTGTGTAAGATATTTAAACGGTCCGAACCAAACTCTCTGGACAAAACGCATGATTAACGGAAGCTGTGAGGACTACAGGTGAGAACTTTTATTCTGTCAGGGGGTCAGTTAAAAGGGGGCGTAGTCTATACAGGTGTGTCCCCATAAAGGGCACACCTGTAGAGACCAGTAGGAGCCCCCCTCAAGGTGCAGGTGGGTTTGGAGTTCTGATATGTTTCTGCTCTTCAGTCAGGGCTTTATTCCCGACTTCCCCTACGAACCTGACGCCTACGACGAGGAAACTCTCAGGTAAAAAGACAGTGGACAGGTGTAGAGGATGTTAGCAGGTCTTCAGAAACAACTAGCGTAGCATAGCTGAAGCACAAGTCTCCATGAACATCTTCCTTCATCGTCTGTAACTATGACTACGACCACTTTGACCCCTGACCTTGCAGCCGCTGCCTTGCTTCCCTCCTGTCAGGTTGGTAGTTTAAGTCCTGCTGGATTTTCTTTCAACAGGTCGAACCCTCAAGGCGGATCGACCCAGGCGAGTCCGACAGGATCTCCGGTCTTTGGCCGTCAAGGACGCCAGCTGCCTTTCGTCCCACCCAAAGGAGCTTCAGACAGAAGTACGGACGTTCGATACCTTTTAGGAAATGGCAACGGACAATTCTTGTGGTTCCTGGTGCAGCCAGCAGATATCTGGGTACTTCCTGTCCTCGTTGTTTAAGGCCCTGATTGGACAAGTGGTTGGCGGCAACCTTGTATTCTTCCTGGTCCTGGTCTTGGTCCTGGTCCCAGTGATTAGCAGGCTAAGAAAAGTAGCACATAGGTCTTTTACCCTTGCAAAGTCCTCCAGCTCTCTCTGGGCGATCCTCCAAGAACCTCCACCTGAATGTGGTGGATTTGACCCCCCCTGTTTTATTAGTTTACCTTTCTCAGGTAAAGGTGGTTATTTAACTTCCAGGTTCAGGTACTACTATTTCATGGTTTGTTTTCATTCGTCTGTCTGATCATCTTTTTTTTCTTTTGCTGTCCATCAGTTTTGACCACACCCACCACAGGATCACCAATTGGAACAGTTGCCCCTCCCCCTGTCCATAAACAAGCCCTACCCCCTGCCAATCATCCACCGCCTCCTCTGATACGAATACAAGCCCCACATCCTCCAGGAACCGCCCCCCCCCACACACCGGTAGTAGCACCAGCTCCGCCCCCAGCTCTGCTACAAGTCCAGGCCCCACCCCTAGCTCCTGGAACTCTACCCGTACCTGCTTCGACTCCAACACCAGTCCAAGCCCCGCCTCCAGCTCCTGTACCTCTACCAGTACCTGCTTCGACTCCAACACCTGCCCAAGCCCCTCCTCCAGCTCCTCTACCTGTACCTGCTGCGAATCCAACACCTGCCCAAGCCCCGCCTCCAGCTCCTGGACCTCTACCTGTACCTGCTGCGACTCCTGTAGTCCAATCACTGCCACCACCTGAACCTGCCCCTCCCCCACAGACTCCAGGTGAGTCCATCACAGGTGTGTGTAAACAATGTCAGTGTAGAACCATTAGAACCAGTAGCTGGTGACTCACAGACAGATCTGTGTGTCTCAGACATGCTCTCTCATTCGTTCATTCATTGGTTCATTCATTGGTTCATTCATTCATTGGTTCATTCATTGGTTCATTCATTGGTTCCTGTGTTCATCTTTGTTACATCATCATGATGTCATCACATCCCACCTATCCGTGTCAGATCCAGACCGACACCCAACGACACCTGGAGGGACCAGAAAAGGTAAATCAGAATCTCAGGTGGATCTGATTGTTGTCTCGGGGTGTATGTAGACATGCTCAGAGTTCTTGCTGGTTTAACTGGTTTGATATCAGAAGGTTCAGTTAAGAGTCTGACCAATCATCTCTCTCTTTACCATGATGCAGAGGTCACATGGGAGGACCAGCTGAACAAAACAGCCAATGGTATGGCACCAACTGTTAGCCACCCCCACCCCCAGACAGGTAGCTCCTCCCGCCTTAGTCATGTGACATATTAGTGATTAACGGGAGTAATTAGTCTCAGTAATCCGTTTATCCTCGTTGCGTTAGTTGATCCCTTCACCAATTTATCATCTATTCATCCATCATTGTCCCACATTATAAACAAGAGTGTGGATATTTAAAGAATAACAACAATATCATTAATAAATAAACAGGAAGAAAAATTCAACCAAACACCAGTCAGCAGCTGACATTTGAAAGAAGCTAGTGAAGTAGCAGCCTTCCATTCCTCGGCTGAGCTGTAACGTTAGCTCAGTGGGGCTACGTGAGCTAGCTCAGTGGGGCTACGTGAGCCAGCTCAGTGGGGCTACGTGAGCCAGCTCAGTGGTGCTACGTGAGCCAGCTCAGTGGTGCTACGTGAGCCAGCTCAGTGGTGCTACGTGAGCCGTCCACGGGTTCATCCCTCGTTTCCTGGTTTGTGTGACTTGAAGTATTTGTGAATCGTTTCTTGTCTTTCTTTTGTGTTCCATCCATCCGTCCACTGTTGTAATGTGAAGGGGAGGAGCTACCACTGAGCAGAGAAGGTAGAGATTCTGTCTTCAGTATTTAAACTTCATGTCTCAGCTCATGCTGTTAACAGAAGTAAGATGTTTTACATGTTGCTCTTTCTGGTGACATCGTTACTCTGTTGATGAAGAACAAGGTAAAAACTAGAAGACGCACTGCTGACAAACCTGGAAACTGAAATGTAGAAGAGCAAGAGTTGGTTGTTGAACTGCATTAAAATAGTTCATTACTAGAAATGTTGGAAGCTAAACTGTTAGAGGAAGTTGAAGATTATTCGAAGATGTTGTCTTATTTACTGCAACTGTAGGAAAATATCAAAAGCTTAAAATTGTATCAAATTACTATCTAGGGTCTTTTATTTTGAAAATGCAGCTATGTGTAGGCCCCCCCGATAAGCTTCTGTTACCATGGTGGGGCTTTTATTTTGAAAATGCAACCACGAGTGTCAGCTTCAGTTTTACCTGAAGACGCTGAAAGACGAAGCTGAAGGACTAGCTTGGATGACTTTTAGTTGTCTCATTGGTTCATGCCCAAAAAATACAATGTGTTAGTTTTTATGTTTGAATGGCTTCTGTTGCTGAAAGTGGAGGAAGTTATCAGTGATGATGTCAGACGATCATACTGTGACATAACGCTAAACCAGAACTATGACGTCATCAGTGTGATGTTATAAACAAACTGTCCTCTTCTGTCAGTGCAGCTGTGACGAAGGATCCATCAAAGGTGAGAGCAGAGTGACATCAGTATTACATCACTGATGATGTCATACACCCGCTCACCTGTTGTCCTGTCCTCTGTGTCTCCAGATGAGGGACAGTCTGTCTTTTAAGTCATCAGACAGTGATGTCAGCGATGTGTCGGTCACTAGGATCAGGTGAGACCAGCAACCAATCAGAGTAAAGTTTATTACATATCTGTATTTAAAAAAAAAAAATATATATATATATATATATTTATTTATTTTTATATTTATTTATTTTTATATATATTT